CCCCCCCCCCCCCCCCGAACTTCTGATTGACTATTTACATTTTTTATGGACAATTCATTTTTTGGAGTTAATATTTAGTGGATTTGTTTTTTTCTGTTTGTTTCAAGGATTATTTGATTTGGATGTTTTTCTTTTCAGCAAAAATAATTAATATGTTGTTGTGTAATTATTTATGCTCATTATAATACATCTGTAGTTTTAAGTTGTTCTTGTTAATGTTGTCTGATTCACACTTATTATTTGAACCTTAAACTTCCCTAGGATGGATTCACATCAACCGAGCCTTATAAGAAAAATCACCGTGGTTATGGTTTTGTTGTGCGAATACTACAACACCTACGTCCCTACGTTGATCGAGCTCCCTGCATGACATCGAGTTATATTGATGATAAATGGGTCGGTGAGCTACGTGGGTCGGTGAGTGATCTCAACTGTTTATATGCAACAGTATAACAATGTCTTTAATTATAGTTTTCACATATATTTCCTTACTTTGCAACAGTGTCAAAAACTTGATCCTAAAGAAAATAAAAATTTAACTTTTTAATTTATATACATTGGGATACTACGCAAGTATACGTATCGTTATCAAGTAATATAGGACTTTTTGATTAAGACCTGAATATCGAACCCACAGGAAAAATACGCAATATGCACTTTTAAACAACAACTTTCTATTCTAAAAATACAATTACTTAAACTACAAATATTTTCACAGTATTAAAATTCAAATCTTTTTAGTATTTTTGATATTTTGGCAGAATAGTAACAATTTAAAAAGATAACTTGAGCTTATGTAAAAGAAAAGTACTAACTTTGATAAATATGTTTCTCTTTATCATGAATCAGTAATAAGTATAGGAATTCTGTTGTGGAAGTATGCAAATTGTGTTGTGTCAAATATGAGCAATTATATTCTTTACCCTTTATTAGAGATGTTATAAAGAACATTAGCTAATTTAAAGTTTGAATAGTTCTGAAGACCGGTTAGGCATAGAAGATATCAGCTCTCACTCTAGAGTTCCCTCGATTCCCTCCACTTGGGAGCTAACATCTCGTATCAAAACCTAAAACAATAAATCAAGTTGGGGGTTTTAACCTGTCACTTTAAAGTCCTCTAACTCTACACCCTTCAATGATTATTTCCTTATTTATTTGCACTAAATCATATGAATTACATTCTCATTCATACAACCTCATGTGATGCTTTCCAATTGTTGATTGAGACAAAACCAGCGTGGTTCTTACATGTTCTCACATGGATTTAAATCATCACAACTTCTTCCAACAATAAAGATCAATACTCTCCACAACTTCCATCCAAACTCTAATTACTTATCATTTTAAGGAGAAAGATAAAGAAAATTACTCATAATCCATAGAGAAAACAAAACCACACTTTAGTTTAAAAATAAAAATCATTGTCAAACCAACAAAAAGTCTAGATTAAAAGTGAAAGTAGTTTAAAACAAAAGATAAAAACTTATCTCAAATCCTCCACCAAACTCTTGAAGTTTCTTTGAATCTCTTCTCTTCTACAACACTCTCAAAATAATCTAAAACCAAAAAGAATAAAGTAAATTTTTGTGGTGTTTGAAAATCTCTCCAAACTCAGGACTCCTCTTCTTCCAACTCTTTTCAGAATTTTCAAGCACCCATCTTCAAATGTAAAAAATTCTTTCTTTTATAAATCTCAAAGAGGTGCCTTGATAACTTTTCAAAATGTGTCCAAATTCGATGTATTCTCCAAAAGATGCCTCCTTTCACAAGTCTTTTAATAATATTTTTGTTTCTAGTGGTCATAACCACCCTCTTTAGCCAATATGTGCCTCAAATACCTCTAAATAAATATATAAAAAAAAACCCGCCGCCAAATAACTGCCTCTGACGCTTAGGTGTGGGGCCTGTGGCCCTTAAGCGTGGTCTTCTCTATTTAACCGGTGCTTAAGCGTCGGATCTGGTGGCGCCGGATCTGACGCTTAGGCGCCAAAACACTTTCCTTATCGCCAAAACACTTTAGCACAATTTTTACATTTTTGCTCCAATTTTGATCCTTTTTCACTCCTTTTAGCATTTTCCACCTTTTTACTTGCACCTGAAAGAGAAACACACAAATACCTTCCATTGAAGCGTAATATCTAAAAAATAAGTATAAAAATGCGTCTAAAAACACTATATATTTTAGGTGTATCAAAATCCCCTATACTTAAAGTGTTACTTGTCCTCAAGTGACACTTCAATCTTTAAAAACTAAATAAGTATGATATGTATATGAGTTTCTTTAGGAGTTACTAAAATTTAGATTTAGAAATTTAGTAGTCCAATTTAGAAAAAAATATTTAGTAAATGAGACCAACTTAAAGTTTAGAAATTTTTAATGTTAAGAAATATGAAAACATGGTACAAAATATGAGTTTCCCTATCTAATTCAGAAATATTGTAGATTTCCAAATTTAGAATTTAGTTCTTCTATCATCTCCACTTAAAATTTTTTGTTAAGCATAATTTTACTCACTATATTATATCATTAAGCTTAAGAGTTTCTCAAGTCTTATACTTTACAAAGATCAAATGCAATCAAATGTGGAACCAATTTTTGATTAGGCACTAATCCTCAAGCTTCTTTTCCCTTACATTTTTTTCTTTTCTTTTTCTTCTTCTTTTTTTTCTTTTTCAAGCAATGATGACTATATCTAGATAGGTCTTTAATGATTTTGAATTCCACTTCTCCTTTCCTAAAGCAAAGTCTTGATATAAGTCTTATACTAAAAAATATAATAGTAGTTTTGAAAATTATTTTAATAAAAGAAATTTAAGTATTAAAAATAAAAGTCTAAATTTCTAAATTTTTCAAAAACACAATTTTTCTTACTAAAGATAGTTACACTATATTAAACATTTTCTACACTAAAAACTTTTTAACGGAAAGTTTTTTTTTATTACTCAAAATTTTAACTAAATTGTCTTACTTATTTCCAAAATCAAATTTTACTTCCCTAATATAACTTCATATACATGATCATTTTTCTTTTCAAATCAAATTCACTCATAGCACAATTGAGAACAAATAAAATTCAAAGATCCTGAAATAATTTTCATCCCCCCCCCCCCAAACTTTTAATTTTTAACAAGATTAAACAGTTTGGCATCAGATATATATAAGCAAAAATGAAAATTAAAATAACATGCTTACATGAATTTTTATATCCTAAGTATACAAGTATACAACTAAAAACAGGAGTAGATTTAATTTTGTTCAAATTTATATCATTTTCATTT